CATCATGTTTCACATTAGTCCCCCCTCGGGTGGGACTAGAGAGTCCCACTTTGTCTTTCCAACTTAACCCTGGCTTTATTTATATTATAGATAAAGGGCTTAAAGACAAGAGGTCAAAAATATAGTAAAATAAAATCTCAAGCCAATGGATGAGGCACTAAATATTTTTGGCTTAGGGACTTCATTTACCCTTGAAATATATAAATGGGGTTTTAGATTTTATTTAGTTAACATTAAAATAATATGTTTTCCCCAAACTTAAATAAAGAAGGCAAATGCCCATCATTTGTTTTAAATAGCCAAGGAAAACCAACTTGGTATTTAAAAACTGTCAGGATCAGTCAGGAGGCGTTTACTATGCATTCACTTATTTTTCATATTTTCAGCATTATTACAGATGAATGCTGCCTTCACATTAGTAAGTACATTGTGTGTAAGGAGGTATTTTTGCAAGGAAAAAAGCAGCAAGAGCCATCAGGAGTGCCAGAGTTTGGGTGAAGGAAGCAAGGTTGCATTACCCAGAGGGCATTGGGCAGTTGTTTTTGAGACGGTGACAGCATGAGCCAAGACACGAAGAGGAGAGATGATTGATTGTTCATTATCACAGTCTTGCAGGAATCATCTTGACTTCAGTTTAATTGACTTTTTGATGCATTAAGAAACCCTCAAATTAGGGACATAAGGAAATGCAAAAGAGATGATAAAAGCCCTCACCAATTTTCTCATAATTAAAAGTCTTAGGCTTTTCCCTGTGCCCATAAATCATAGTTTATGAAAATGCTTGTTTCAAAGCTAAAATGCTACACCACAGAGAAAAAATTTAATTTCGGAACCCTTTTCCCCCCGACTGCTACCAAGCAATGACTGATGAAGGCTAGACCGTTCTGTTTGACCTTACTTGCCTTTGTTCCTCTCTGGCTCCAGGAATCGGCCTGTGTGAAAGTGGTGGCTGCGGCGAGCATGTGGGATGTGTGCATGGAGAAGGGACACAAGGACTTGGAACAGTTCGAGAAGGTGCATCGCTACATCAGTGACCAGCTCTTCACAAACTTTGTAAGTGACGATCTTCAACACACTGTTCACGGTTGGTCCTCTTCCTGGGGCTCTTTCTACCTCCAGCTGACGAAAAGTTAACCACAGAGACCTGCTCTGTGCACTAGGAGTCCTGGCCGTCCTCTAGGATATTTGCAGCAGGATTTTATATTCAAAGGATGACTTTCAATAAGTTAAAGGCCAGGTAGGATCTATATGTATTCACACAAATGTTTTCATAGCTTGTGATCAGCAAAGGAAAACTAGGAAATGTAATTATGGATCACAATTGATAACTCTGATCAAAAGGAAACAACGATTGGAATGGTAACTTAAAAAGGAATATTTAGGAATTGTTAAGAGGTTAACAAGCCCTGGCTGGTTTGGCTCAGTGGATAGAGCATCAGCCTGTGGACTCAAGGGTCCCAGGTTTGATTCCAGTCAAGGGCATGTACCATGGTTGCGGGCACATCCCCAGTAGGGGGTGTGCGGGAGGCAGCTGATCGATGTTTCTCTCTCATCGATGTTTCTAACTCTCTATCCCTCTCCTTCCTCTCTGTAAAAAATCAATAAAATATATTAAAAAAAAAAGAGGTTAACAAATAGGTCTTTGAGATTGTACAAACTACAAAGAAAGTACTAAAGGCCACGTTGCTTCTAAATTCTAAATAGATATCCAGTTAACCCTAGAACAAAACTGGTTTGAACTGCATGGGTCCACTTATACACGGACTTTTTTTGATGTATACTGTAAACATATTTTCTTTTTCTTATGATTTTCTTTCTTTTTTTAAAGACTTTTTATTTCTTTTTATTGATTTCAGAGAGGAAGGGAGAGGAAGAGAGAGATAGAAACATCAATGATGAGAGAAAACTATTGATTGGCTGCTTCCTTCATGCCTCCTACCGCAGATCAAGCCCACAACACGGGCATGTGCCCTTGACCAGAATCAAACCGGGGACCCTTCAGGCCTACGCTCTATTCATGAGCCAAACTGCCTAGGGCTCTTATGATTTTCTTAACAGTTTCTTTTCTCTGGCTTACTTTATTATAAGAATACAGATTATAATTCATATAATATATAAAATATGTGTTAATTGGCTATTGGTAAGGCTTCCAGTCAGTAGTGGGCTTTTAGTAGTATAGTTTTTGAGGAAGCCAAAGTTATATGTGGATTTTCTACTGTGCAGGAAGTTGGTACCCCTAACTCCTGCATTGTCCAAGAATCAACTGTATGTGGTATTTGTTTGGTCCAAAGTAGAAAGAAATAGGTGGGGGTTGATAGTGTCTTGGAGATGTCCAGATGGCTTGGAGCTGAGGACAATATGCACACTCAGCTGCCTCCTGCACACCCTGTGCTGGGGATTGAACCTGCAATCCAGGCAAGAGCTCTGACTGGGAATCGAACCCTTGACCTCCTGGTTCATAGGTCGACACTCAACCACGTCAGCCAGGCATAAATTAAGAAGTTTTTGGAGTGTGTATATTCATCTGGGATTGAGTAAGCAGGACAGTTGGATCTGCATGGGTGTAGCTTGTGCACTAGGAATACAGCAGATGGTATAGGGCAGCCGTGGGCAAACTATGGCCCGCGGGCTGGATCCGGCCCGTTTGAAATGAATAAACTAAAAAAAAAAGACCGTACCCTTTTATGTAATGATGTTTACTTTGAATTTATATTAGTTCACACAAACACTCCATCCATGCTTTTGTTCCGGCCCTCCGGTCCAGTTTAAGAACCCATTGTGGCCCTCGAGTCAAAAAGTTTGCCCACCCCTGGTCTAGGACATAACAAAGTCAGCCTGAAGAGTATTATGGGAAATAACAAATGTGGAATACTGAGCAACGTGCCTTTCTTGTCCCTACAGAAGGAGAGGACGGAGCGGCTGGTCATCTCCCCCCTCAATCAGTTACTAAGCATGTTTACAGGGCCCCACAAGCTGGTGCAGAAGCGCTTTGACAAGCTGCTGGACTTCTACAACTGCACGGAGCGGGCCGAGAAGCTGAAGGACAAGAAGACCCTGGAGGAGCTGCAGTCGGCCCGGAACAACTACGAGGCCCTGAATGCGCAGCTGCTGGATGAGCTGCCCAAGTTCCACCAGTACGCCCAGGGCCTCTTCACCAACTGCGTCCACGGCTACGCCGAGGCCCACTGCGACTTCGTGCGCCAGGCTCTGGAGCAGTTGAAGCCGCTGCTTTCAGTGAGTCCCTCATCCCCCACCCGCCAGTCCTCCACTCCCACCCCCACCCCCACCCCCACCATGGAGAGTTCATCTCTGAAGTTCTCCCGGTGATTTTCTGGAAGTGCACAGTAGGGTTGTTTGAGATATTCTTCAAAATAGATAGATTAAATATGTTATTAGGTCAAGCCCATTAGGAATTAGAATTCTTTTTTTTTTTTTAATATATTTTATTGGTATTTTACAGAGAGAAAGGGAGAGAGATAGAGAGTTAGAAACATCGATCAGCCGCCTCCCGCACATCTCCTACTGGGGATGTGCCCGCAACCCAGGTACATGCCCTTGACCGGAATCGAACCTGGGACCTTTCAGTCCGCAAGCCGACGCTCTATACACTGAGCCAAACCGGTTTCGGCATTAGGAATTAGAATTCTTTAACCCTTGATGGTGCCTGTGAAGTCCATGACTTTTTAAAATAATATGTTTTTATAGATTTTAGAGAGTGAAAGGGTGAGGGAGAGAGATAGAAACATTGATGAGAGAGAAACTGCAATTGGCTCTCCTGCACGCCCCCTACTGGGGATCAAACCTGCAACTGGGGCATGTGCCCTGACCAGGAATCAAACCCTTGACCTCTTGGTTCATGGGTCAACACTCAACCACTGAGGCACACTGTCCAGGCCCGTGGCTTTTAATTTTTCTTTTAATTTATTTTTTGTTAATTCTCAGCTGATTTTGTTTTGTTTTCCTCATTGATTTTTAGAGAAAGAGAGTGGAAAGCAGGGAGGGAATGGGGAGGAGGTAAAGAGAGAGACATCGATGTGAGAGACACATAAATTGGTTGCCTCCCGTGTGCACCCAGACCAGGGCCGGGGATTAAACCTGCAACCCAGATACGTGCCCTTAACTGGGAATTGAACCTGAGACCTTTAGGTGCGTGGGCCACCACTGAGCAACACCGGCCGGGCTAAACCCTTGGCTTTTGAATGGTTCTCTTTCCACCCTGAACAAGCCCCAGCAGAGCCAGCCAACGTGCCCGCCGGCAGCTCAGTCCCCGGCATCGGCTGCAGTGTCAGTAGCTTACACAGAGTCAACTGCCGCTCCACTGTAGCTTCCCGTTGGTTTTAACGAGTCTGTCAGTCGGGATCTTTCATCCGTGTTCTCTTCTTTCCCCTATCTCTCCTCTTCCCACGGTCTCCAGTTGCTTAAAGTTGCCGGCAGAGAGGGAAACCTTATTGCCGTCTTCCACGAGGAGCACAGCAGGGTTCTGCAGCAGCTCCAGGTTTTCACCTTCTTCCCAGAGACTCTCCCGGCTACCAAGAGGCCGTTTGAGAGGAAGACCGTGGACCGCCAGTCCGCTCGAAAGCCACTCCTGGGCCTGGTGAGTAGGGACTAGAGAGCGGACGCACAGCCTAGTTGTTCAGAATGTGAACTCGGGAGCCCAACCCCCTGGGTTCAGATCCCGGCACCGACAGTTAACTCACTGTACGTCCTTGAGCAAGTACCTGACCTCTGTGCCTTGGTTTCTTCTTCCCTAAAACACAGATGATAATTATACTGCATCGGAGAGTTATTATGAGGCTTAGATGAGTTAACATATGTAAAGCACTCAGAGACTTTCTGGCAATCTGTAAGCACTGTTGTCATTGTTATTTTTAGCATCAATGGACTCAGCTGTCTCTACAAATTAGCAATTTAATAGGAGTTTAAATACTTTATAGTAAATACAAAAAGGTTATCGAGTTCTTACCTATGATGGGCTCATCCATTCATGTACTCACTATTATCGCGCATCACCAGGTGCCTGCTGGTACTTGACAGTGACCACCTGTAGTTTTCTCACACTTGGTATGTACTTCCAAACGCCCTCTGAAAAGCACACCTGGGTTTTTGTCTCTACAGTGAAAGGAGCTAGTAGTCTTAGTACTTTGATCATTTAATGAAGGGGACGGATTTAAGGGTATGTTCATTCTGCCAGGCCTCCCTATTTTTTATCATATATCAGAAGAGGTAATTATTTGATTTACTGCCAAACAATTCATGGCTAACTGCTTTATTACCTGGAGATATCCTATATAATAAAACCCTAATATGCAAATCGACCAAACAGTGGAACAACGGGTCACTATGACGTACATTGACCACCAGGGGGCAGACGCTCAACACAGGAGCTGCCCCCTGGTGGTCAGTGTGCTCCCACGGGGGCGCCGCTCAGCCAGAAGCCGGGCTCACTACAGAGCTAAGGAGCAGCTAAGGAGCAGAAGCCAGGTTCACGGCTGGTGAGCGCAGTGGCAGTGGCAGGAGCCTCTCCCACCTCCCTGGCAGCACTAAGGACCCCTCGGGGCCTGCCCACTTAGGCCCGCTCCCCTGAGGAGCCGGCAGTCAGACATCCCCCGAGGGGTCCTGGACTGCGAGAGGGCACAGGCCGGGCTGAGGGACATCCTTCCCACCCCCCAGTGCGTGAATGTCGTGCACTGGGCCTCTAATATATATATATATATTTAAATATATTTTTATTGATTTTAGAGAAGAGAGAAGGAGAGAGAGAGAGAGAGACATCAATGATGAGAAAGAATAATTGATCAGCAGCCTCCTGCACACCCCACCGTGAGGATCAAGCCCAGGCATGTGCCCTGACCAGGAATTGAGCCGTTCAACCACTGAGACATGCTCAGCCAGGCAATATATATATATAATTAAGTTTATTGGGGTGACATTGGCAGTTACATTTTTTTAAAACTCAGTTCTTCCATATTTTAAAAACTTTGGTAAGCTAAGCCAGATTACATCAGGTCATGATCTAAAAGACTGAAGACTTATCTTCGTTTACAGTATTTTTGCCCATACAATCTCATAGACATTAATTTAGATTAGCTTAAAAGGGGGAATCAAATTTATTATTACTTTATCTTATTTTTAAAAATTTATCTTTATTGAAAGTATTACATATGTCCCTATTTTCCCCCTCACTGACCCCCTTGCACCTTCCTCCCGCCCCCCCGCCCCCCAAGGCTTTTACTGTACTGCTGTCTGTGTCCATGGGTTATGCATATATGCATAGAAGTTCTTAGGAACGTTATTTGTTTATATAGATGGGGAAGTCAGCATGAGGAATGTCTCGGTTGTTTGGCTTCATACAAAGACCCAGTAATATTAAGTAATATTAGGTATTTTGAGTGTCTAGGTGGCACTTTAGTCATATTGTTTTTGTCACAAGGTAACAGTAAGACTGTGGGTTAAATTTCCTTAATAGCTACAGAGGCACCAAAGCGAGGCCTAAGTGACCTTCACTCTTCCCCGGCCCCGTGGACGGACTCAGGCGCAGGAGCAGCTGGCTGTCGTTGTCCCCACTCTGAGACTGACGGTGTCGGGATTAAACCCGGCTGCTGGGATCATGGCCGGGGAGGGCTTCTGTTGATGGTATTTCTCGTGCTGCCTTTCAGCCAACTTACATGCTGCAGTCGGACGAACTCCGGGCCTCTCTTCTGGCGAGGTATCCCCCAGAAAAGCTCTTCCAAGCAGACCGGAACTTCAATGCAGCTCAAGACCTGGATGTCTCCCTTCTGGAAGGTGACCTGGTGGGCGTGATCAAGAAAAAGGACCCCATGGGCAGTCCGAACCGCTGGCTGATTGACAATGGAGGTAAGAATGCTGGACCCCAGATTACTGTGACTCTCAGTGAGGAAGGGCTTTGGGCTGGAGCTGGATCCTGTCCGGGCCAGGAAAAAATATGAGTCTTTGATTAAAGGGGAAAGTAACCTTGAAAGTTCTGTCCATCTCTAGAGAGTATAATGCCCAAGTGATTCCTGAAGCAAAACCTGTCTTCAGTTTTGGTTTTGTTTTTTACAAATTCCTGAGGAGATTCCATTCCTTCCCTTGCAAGGTCTGGCCCTGCTTCACAGCCCTGTGGGCAGCGGGTGCTGCCTGAGGGGGCCTGTGCCCTCGCAGCCAGTTCCGAGCAAACCACAAAATGAGCGGCCTTCTCCGAGCTCTGAGTGTGCCTTAGGCGTGAGTGCATTCAAAACCTGTAGGACAGAGGTTTTCGTTTTCCTCCCATAACAATCTTACCTCATGACTATTCATGGATGACTTTAAAAACAGCTCATAGCTTTTTTTGTGGTGGGGGGCATGGGAAAGGGGTACGGAATTTAAAGAAAAACACAGCCCTGGCTGGTTTGGCTCTGTGGATAGAGCATCGGTCTGTGGACTGAAGGGTCCCAGGTTCGATTCCAGTCAAGGGCACATGCCTGGCTTGTGGGCTTAATCCCCAGTAGAGGATGTGCAGGAGGCAGCCAATCAATGATTCTCTCTCATCATTGATGTTTCTATCTCTCTCTCCTTTCCTCTCTGAAATCAATAAAAATAAATTTAAAAAGAATGCTTTAAAAAAAAAGAAAAGAAAAGAAAAACACAAAGAATGATACTGATCCATGATTCTTTCCCCACAAATCAAAATCTGAAAAGCTTTGAAAAAGCAAAGGTTTGTTTCTTTCCCTCCCAAAATTCATTTGCCAAAACCTGCCTAATCTGAATTCATTTGGTGGCAAAACCTGACCAAAGTGATGTGAGGCTGTTTATAATCATTACTTATCCATTTTGGTGTGAAGAGCCATCTATTTTGCTACAGAAACGTTAGTGGATTTGAATATGGACTATTAACCCAGACCCTGCTGGGGATATTATGAAATATACTAGAGCCCCAGTGCACAGCTTCATGCACTGGTAGGGTCCCTTGGCGTGGCCTGCAGGGATCAGGCCGAAACTGGTAGTGCAACGCCGCCTGCCACTCCTGCACCTCCTGGCCCCACTGGGCCTGCCGCTGCTGCCACTCACTAGGCTTGCGGCCGCTCCGCTGCGGTCTCCAGGCTGTGGCGGCCAGTTGTGAGCCCTGCATCTGGCGCTGTCAGTGAGTGGGGGAGCGCACTGACCACCAGGGGGCAGCTCCTGTGTTGAGCGTCTGCCCCCTGGTGGTCAGTGAGTGTCATAGCGACCGGTCAACTGGTCACTTAGGCTTTTATATAGAGAGATTGTATATGTGCTTTACCTTCCCCAAATTCAAAAATTTAACCTCTAAAGCACATCTGGCTCTGAGCATGTCAGATATAGACTGTGAGCATATATAATAAATATCTATGTTCACATCGCCAGCGTGAAAACGTTAACATTTCTCAGTTTTCTTTAAAAGTATCCCTCCCCCTTCTTAACCAAAGAATAGAGATTGAAATGGGAAAGGAAGGACAAAGGCTGGGGCCTTCCAAGTGGTGAGCAGGTGAGTGCCCCTGCTGGATTCATGGACAGATGAACTCCTTGTAAAGATCCAAGCTGTTCAAAAGGCTCCCTTGTCCTTAGGGTTGTATGGACTCAATCCTGATAAATAAAGTGGTAGCAAGAAGCCTACAGTATCTGAATCAGCTGTTATCCTCTACCCCTCACCGTCTGCCCAGGGGGCCCCTCCCCATCTCTCAGCAGATAAAACAAATGTGTGCCAGCATTGTTTTAGCTACAGGAAATGCATGGAAGATGGAGACAGAGGGGGCTCACACGGGGGTCCCTGCCTGGACAGATAGTTGTTTCTTGATATCATAAAGCATTTTCCTGTCAATTCAGGATTTCAATTCCCAATTTATACTTTAAAGTTTTAGCCGAAGGCCCTCTCTGTCATCATCTTAGGCAACTAGTTAACGTGAACATGTGCTGTGCATGTGTTGTGTGTGTGATTCCAACCAGTAGAAACAGCTTCCCACTTAGACTATGCTCACTATTCCCACCACATTCCTAAACCAGAGACGGGGATTCAGTGGATGGAAAGAGGGGAAGGCATCTCTGAGGGGCTCTGCCCATGAGGGTGGTTATTCCGATCCCTCTGTACCACACTGTTGTACTTGAACACATCCCTTAAGTTGTCCCTTAGTCCTTTCCTCCATGATCTAGGTATCCTGTGAAACTGTCTTCATGTGCTCATTCTCCAGCTTGTCCTTTTCATTCTCTCCCCTTGACTCTCCACGAGGCCTCCTTATCACTCGTCTCTTCTGAGGTTGTAACAAGAACGAACTGGCAGGCAGTCACCGCGTTTCGTCTCTACCCACCTCATTGTACCCTGGGATTGAATGTCTGATCCGTTTGCTCACTGGGCATCTTACTTTGTGTCTCTCACTATGGAAACCTTGAAACCATGGTTTCTTCTCTGCTGATGACCCTCCGTCCCTCGTCCCTCCTCCTCCTGCTACAAGCTTCTCATGTCTGTCTTTCCTTCCCGTAGTCACCAAAGGCTTCGTGTACAGCTCCTTCCTGAAGCCCTACAACGCCCGCCGCAGCCACTCCGACGCCTCTGTGGGCAGCCACTCCTCCACCGAGTCCGAGCACAGCAGCTCCTCCCCCAGGTTCCCTCGGCAGAACAGCCACAGCACCTTGACCTTCAACCCCAGCAGCATGGCTGTGGCCTTCACGTCGGGGCCTTGCCAGAAACAGCCTCAAGAGGCATCTTCATTGAAGGAACTTGACCAAGCAACTCTCAGTGCTTCCTTAAACGTGGGCAGTTCAGAGAGCAGTCCTTCCAGCCGCCCCTCAGACCCGCACTCCACCTCCCAGCCCAGGCCCTGGGACTCCGCCGACCTGGCCCAAGACGTCGACCAGCCTGCGCCCACCCTGAGGAGCTACCGAAACTCCCAGCATCCAGAGATGGCTGGCTGCTCCGTCCCAGGGCGAAACGGGCCGGAGAAAGACCTCATAAAAGGATGTGCAAGAACAGCCCAGTCTCTGGAAGATAAAAACGAAGAGCTGGAGAGCAGTGAGGCGTTGGGCAACCAGGTGAGTGCTCCCTGCTCCCCTCGCAGAACAGGTGGCAGGTGTGTTGCGGGTGCAGATAATGCTTTTTTAGGGCGGGGGCGAGTCAGAGGTGCCAGGGCCTGGGTGTGATCCGGAGATGGGCTCATAGACAAGTACTCGTGCTGTTGGGTGAGCAGCTCAACACCTCCCAGGCCCTCTCTGTGGCCGGCTCTTCATGGCTGTTTCTGAGCCCCTTTTCTGCGTCATTGGGCATTCACAAGGTGTTACGATGAAAACTTTCCCCACTCTTCTGATTTACTAATTCTTTAGTTGTATAAAGTCTGTTGTTTAACCCATTATTGAGTTTTTTATTCAAATACTATATTTTTAGTTCTAGAATTTAGAAGTAAAATTCTGGCTCTGTTTCGGTTTTTCCTGTTTTGCGTAATGGCCTGTTGTCTTGGGGCTCTGAATGTAGCCTTTGTATCTTGAACATTTAAACCTGCACGTTTTAAAGCCACGTCTAGCTTCTCAGCTCTGCTTGTTGCCTTTGCTCCGTCTCGCAGCGGTGAGTGGCCGTGTCTGTTCTACAGCGTTTGTCTGTGAGCTCATCTCCCGTGGGGTTGCCTTTGCTGATCTCGGTCGTGCCCTGGGCTGTGGAAGTGTCTGTCTTTGCCAAGCTCTGGGCTCCAAAGCACCAGGTTTCCCACTCGTTCGCTTCTCAGCTCAGACGTCCCGCATTCCTCGGTCCGTCAGATGAGCACGGGGCACGCCTGTTTCTCTCCGGCCCAGGTGGACATCCCAGCTCTGGACCCACCATTGGGCAGTTTCTCTAGACATGTTGAGGGAGACATGTTTTTCTAAGGATATCGATCTGATATGAATTTTGGTTTTCTTTGACTTTGTCTTGTCCATTGTGGTAGCCACCAGCTATATGTAGCTTAAAAGTATATAGTTAGTTAAAATGAAATAAGATTTTAAGAAGCAAGTTTCTCTGTCTTACTGGCCGCATTTCAAGTGCTCAAGGGCCACCTGTGGCGGTGGCTGCCGTACTGACGGTGCGGGCTCAGACCGTCCGCCTCACTGCAGGACGTGCTGAGGAACAGTGACTTCCAGGCAGTCTCCCGTCGCCTGACTCAGCTTTTCTCCCCACAGGTCTATTTTGCTGTCTATACCTTCAAGGCCCGGAACCCAAATGAGCTGAGTGTGTCAGCCAACCAGAGACTCAAGATCCTGGACTTTAAAGATGTCACAGGAAATACAGAATGGTGGCTAGCCGAAGTGAACGGGAAGAAGGGCTATGTTCCATCCAATTATATTCGCAAAGCTGAGTACACCTGAACCTGTTCTGCTTCCCACTCAGCCTTGCTGCCCTCGCTCCCTCCTGCTGGAGGTTCTGGTGGTCCCCTGAGAGGGCACCGCTCCGGAGGCACAGGCCCTGTCCCCAGTGCTCAACCATGCCACGGGGGCACAAGATACCACCTGTTCTCCTCCATTGGGTTCGCAACCTTGATGCTTACTAGAATTTCTAGAATTTGTCATGAACCCTGGAGCTTGAAAATAATTCCATGACCACGAGAAGAGCGGCAAGCCCTGAGTCAGCCTATGGAAATGAGAAATTTCCAAGCAGAAGACTGTATCTTGTGTATGCTGGGAGCTGTGCCATAGCATTGGAAGGTGTTGGCATTGGTTGTACCATGCTCCACGATCACCTGACAGAAATTGACTTGGATGAAAAGAATTCTCCGGAAGCCCTTTTAGGCTAGGCCTCTGCCTGTGGCAAGGAGTTTGCTGAGATTGTATCAATTCTGGTGTTTCAAAGCTTCGTGTCTAGCACACGTTCACGCCTATGTGCCCACCCCAATTTCCAAAAGTCCTTAAAACACGAGCGTGTGTCATCTTTTTCTTAGTGCACTGATTGGTTATCCAACATTCAACTGCTTTCTTTCTCCTTCTGAAGAGGTTTAGCGTCTTTCTTTTCCTTCGCCCTTTATCTGAAGGTTCTCGTTTCTTATAGGTGCAGTCACCTATAAGTTCTGAGAGTTCTACTTTATTCAGTCACCGTGTGATCATCTCCCAGGCTCTCTCTGCAGCCCATAACTGATAGACTTTTCCAAGGAGAATAGGGTCAGAGTTCCAACCTTTCGTTCAAAGGATTCACTCTGCGATGAGCCCAAACCAGCCCAGCCCGGTGGAAGACGGGACGCCTTTCTCCTTCACCCAACTCAGTGCTGTCCACAGATGCAGAAAACTAACGCGTGTCTTTTTTTTTTTTTTTAATATGTTTTTATTGATTTCAGAGAGGAAGGAAGAGGGAAAGAGAGAGAGAAACATCAATGATGAGAAAGAATCATTGATTGGCTGCCTCCTGCGCGCCCCCTATTTGGGATCCAACTCACAACCTGGGCATGTACCCCAACGGGAATAGAACCGTGACCTCCTGATTCATGGGTGGACGCTCAACCACTGAGCCACACCTGCTGGCCTAACACGTGTCTTATTTGAATTAGGATACTCAGTCCTGAAAGTAGGTTATCCGAGACTTAGAAATAGCATTTTCTGTTTTACTCTAACCTCCATGTTTCAGAGATCACAGTCTAAGCCAAAAAGATTCTAAAGTGCCTGGTTGCCCCTTTCTCCGGCCTCAGGAAGGTGTTTGCTAACCCTCACCTGACGACTCTCCCCGGAACGTTCTATTTGAGCAGGGCTCTTACTTAAGGTCTGCCCCCATGTGAAGCCTACCTTGGAACAGAAAACTATGAATTTGTCTTACAAAGGGAATTAAGAACAGTCTTACAGCCCCTGCCCACCAAGTGCACCTTGGGCCGAACCCTCCTGATGCATTAGGAGACACTGGGCTCCTGAGTCCAGGCGCATGCGGGTCGGTCAGAAGGCAGCAGCGTGAGCCCCTTGTGAATAGTTTATATTTAGAGACGTTTCTATTGGAGTAGTTATTTTATAAATAAAAGCGTTTCTAAGGACCATGAGTGTGTGTTCTTGATTTCCCTCCACGTTTAGCCTGAACTTTCCTCTTTGATTTCTGAGGGTACCTTTCTGACAATTAACTGATGCCCAAATTCCAGGAGATGGGCAGGACTAACAAGACATTCAAATCAAAATGTATTTGTCAAATGTAATATCAATGGAATTACTGTATACTCAAGAGATGTCCATGCTGCAGGTGATTGTTTCCTTATTTTAAGGCAGTGGTTCTCAACCTTCCTAATGCTGCCACCCTTTCATACAGTTCCTCATGTTGTGGTGACCCCCAATTTCATTGTTACAAATTGAACATAATTAAAGCATAGTGATTAATCACAAAAGCAATATGTAATTATATATGTGTTTTCCAATGGTCTTAGGCGACCCCCGTGAAAGGGTCGTTCGACTCCCAAAGGGGTCGCGACCCACAGGTTGAGAACCACTGTTTTAAGGCATTTTATTATAAAACTAGAGGCCCAGTGCATGGATTCATGCACTGGTGGGGTCCCTTGGCCTGGCCTACAGGGATCGGGCTGAAACCGGCTCTCCACATCCCCTGAGGGGTCCCAGATTGCAAGAGGGCGTAGGCCAGGCCGAGGACCCCACCAGTGCATGATCAGGGCTGAGGAGGAATCATGGGAGGGCTCTAGGGCGTGTCTGGCCCATCTTGCCCAGTCCCTCCCAATCAGCCTGACCCCAGCAGCAAGCTAACCTACTGGTCGGAGTGCCTGCCCCCTGGTGGTCAGTGTGTGTCATAGTGACTGGCCAAATGGTCGGACGCTTGGCATATTAGGCTTTTATTATATAGGATCCTGGCAGAACAGAGGAGCTGAATTCTCTGATCTGGAATTTCTAAGAGGTTAGTATTTTCCTGATATTATGGATGTAGAAACTAATGCATTAGAGCTTAACCAGGCCATATGGCAGTAGGTTGGGCAAGCTTGGGGGTGGGATGGGGGGACACAGCAGGAGCAGTGGCAGAGGCGGGATTGAAGATGTGTGGGTGACTGAAACAATCGCATGATACTGTTACGGGACAGAAATCATGGCTGAATAGGGAGTCTTCGTGGGAGAGAAACGTATAGGTCAACTCTTTCATTTTATGGTTAGGAAAATGGGGTCCATCCACATTGTGATGTGCTCACATCAAGTTTCCGATGGATCCTGAATTTAAAGTTGGGCCTCAGGCTCTCAAGCTGAGTCTTTACACCTCATTCTGGAGCCAGACTGTCTGACTTCAGACACTTAAGAGCTTTGTGACCTTGGCAACTTTCTAACCCCTGCTTCAGTTTCCTCATCTAAAGTAACAGTGGTAGCCCGACTGGCGTGGCTCAGCAGATTGAGTGTTGCTCCATGCACCAAGAGGCTGCTGGTTCAATTCCCGGTCAGGGCACATGCCCGGGTTGCGGGCTTGATCCCCAGTAGGAGGCAACCGATTGATGTTTATCATCAATGTCCTCTCCCATCCTCTCTAAAAAATCAACCCCATATAATAAAAGGACAATATGCAAATTGACCAAATGACAGAACGACCAGTTGCTATGACATGCAGTGACCACCAGGGAACAGACACTTAACGCAGGAGCTGCCCCCTGGTGGTCAGTACATTCCCACAGGGGGAGTGCTGCTCAGCCAGAAGCCCAACTCACGACTGGCGAACGCAGCCACGGTGGCAGGAACCTCTCCCACCTCTGTGGCAGTGCTAAGGATGTCTGACTACCAACATAGGCCCACTCTCCAGAGGGAGCAGGCCTAAGCCATCAGTCGGACATCCCCCAAAGGGCTCCCAGACTGCAAGGGGGCACAGGCCGGGCTGAGGGTTCCCCTCCCCCCTGCAAGTGCATGAATTTCATGCACCAGGCCTCTAGTAAAAAACATTTAAAAATATAAAAACTAAAGTAATGATAGTACTACTATCCATTTCATGAAGTTGTTGGAAAGATGGAATGAATTAGTGCATGGAAAATGTTAGAACATCGCTTGACAGGTAGTAAACAAATTGGAGAGCCTTGAGGTCCAAGTCAAGGAATTTAGATTTGATGAGTGGTAATACACTCCTGTTGCTTCGTCAGTGGCTTGGCTGTTTTAGGAAAGCTAAATGGCAGCAGGGTGATTTGGAGGGCAAGAAAATTTAATAATTGGAGGAAAGATAACTGATTTGAGCAGAAAATAGCTTGAGAATGGAAAAAAGCAACCTCCTTTAAAGAATATGAAATTGAAGAAATGATGGACTCACACAAAAGGGAAGTCCGTGGGATGGAAGCAAGTGTATGAGAAAATGCGTTTTGTTTTAAAACACCATCACAGGGAGCTGGGGGCTTGCAGGAATGCAGGCCCCACCTACTGAGCGAGGTCCCAGGTGGTTTGTGTGTATTAAAGTTTGAGAAGCATCTATTCAGGCAATTTTTTTTAAATGGAACTTTCTAGCAGAAAAGTAGGAGTTAGCGAAAACCAAGGAAGGAAAAGGGTGTCAGATGTTTCAGATACGACAGAAGGAAATGTTACTGAAGCAAATTTCCAAATCCGGTTTGCCTGCTTACTTCCTCTCATGAATCTTCTCCCTTTCCTGTCTGGGAGGAGCTCTTCAGATGTGTTTTCATTCAAGAGTCCTAGGAGAACAGGGTGGGGGTTAGGGGAAATCTATGGTCATCTGTAAAGTGTAGATTTCTGGCCTCTCGAGATTACTGCAGACTGAAACAGGATGATGTCTGCACATTTTTGTGCACCGTGAGCTCTAGAAGGACATGGTTTTAATAAGGATTGAGTTTTGTGTCACCCTGTTTTAATTAATTGCGAAGCTGAGGCTGTTTACATGGGTTTTGTTTCAGGGCTGGGAATATACACAGGCCCCAGAAAAACAGCACTGTGCTCCGAATTCTGTTTCACTTGCAGAATCTTAGGCTTGAGGACTAAGAAAACTTGAGATCTACATATAGCATCCTAACACCTCTAGTCACCAAACACTACCCAGGCCTTTAATTCTCTCATTTATTAGTATGCAGTAGTGATGGTTTTAAAAAAATATTTTTTTTTATTGATTTCAGAGAGGAAGGGAGAGGGAGAGAGAGATAAAAACATCAATGATGAGAGAGAATCATTGCTCTGCTGCCTTCTGCACGCCCCACACTGGGGATTGAGCCTGTAATCCAGCATGTGCCCTCACCGGGAATCGAACCGTGACCTCCTGGTTCATAGGATAATCTCCGATCTGCGCCTTGGTTTATTTCACTGAGCCCCTGGAAGTTTCTTGCAATTGTTCATGAAGATCAACATCAGTGATCTTCATGCATCAAGAAGGGAGTTTCCACAACAAACTGCACACTTTGCAATACATAGAGCTGTCCATTTCTTACCACCACTCAGAGCTGAGCCTCAAGGAGAAAGGGGCGGACGCCCTGCTTCCCCAGGGTAAGTTCTGATGGCGTGGGGGTGGGAGGGAGCGAGCACTCTGACAGGGCAGCAGCCGTGCGTTCATTCAGGAAAAAATCACTGGAAGCAGCAGGCACACTGGGACCCCGCAGCTGCCTGAGCAGGACCATGCACGAAGTACTGCCTGGCCTCCCAGGACACCGAGGAAGCTGACTGCGAGACTCCGGGCCTGCCAGCCCCCTCCAGTCGTAGGTATCACCGTGACTCATTTAACCAGGGGCCTTCCTGCAGCCTCTCAGATGAGATGAAAGACAGATTGCCTGCAAACATGACCATCGGAGTAAGACCTTTGCAATTTGGCAGAAGGGCGACAGCCGTCGGCACTGCAACCCACTTTACTGGGCTTAAAAGATGGTGTGGCCCTCGACAGATTCACACAATAGTGCAATTCAGTGAAGATCAGTCAGTTGTCACACTGACTGCAGTAGGAGAATATTAGCAATTTTACCAGAGCTATTTGGGCTTATGGTCTTGTATTAGTTTCCTATTGCTACTGTAACAAATTACCACAAATTTGTGGCCTAAAACAACACAAGTTTATTATCTTACAGTTCTGGAGGTCAGAAGTTCCAAGTCTGTTTCACTAGGCAAAAGTCAAGGTGTCAGCAGGGCATTCCTTCTGCAGGCTCCAGGGGGGAATCTGTCTCCTTTCCCAGCTTCTAGAGCAGTGATGGTGAACCTATGACACGCGTGTCAGAGGTGACACGCGAACTCATTTTTTTGGTTGATTTTTCTTTGTTAAATGGCATTTAAATATATAAAATAAATATCAAAAATATAAGTCTTTGTTTTACTATGGTTGCAGATATCAAAAAATTTCTATATGCAACACAGCACCAGAGTTAAGTTAGGGTTTTTCAAAATGCTGACACGCGAGCTCAAAAGCTTCGCCACCACTACCCTAGAAGCTGCCTGTAAGCCTCCCTCCATCCGCAAAGCCAGCAGCACAGCATCTTCACATCTTCCTCATCACATTCTCTTCATTCTAACTCTGACCGTCCTGACCCATAAGGATCCTGGTGGTTGCGTGGGGCCCAGCGGGATAATGGCCCCATCACAACATCCTCGGTCACATCGGCCAAGCCCCTTTTGCCCCGGGTTTTGAGGATTAGGAGGTGGACATCTTTGGGGGCCATTTTCTTTACCACAGGAGTGAAGTCATGACGTTTTTTAAGGCCCCTTGTCTTTTTGAGAATAGAAACAACCCACTCCGTACTATACCCGTGTTTCTGGAATCAGGGATCAGCAAACCTTTTCTGTAAGAGGCCAGGTGAGCCCTAGCTGGTTTGGCTCAGTGGATAGAGCGTCAGCCTGTGGACTGAAGGGTCCCGGGTTTGATTCCAGTCAAGGGCACATGCCCAGGGTTGCCAGCTTGATCCCTGGTAGGGGGCATGCAGGGGGCAGCTGATCAATGATTCTCTGTCATCATTGATGTTTCTCTCTCTCCTCTCCCTTCCTCTCTGAAATCAATAAAAATTATCTATTCTAATAAAAGGCCTGTGGCCATGATGCCATAATGTGGAACGACCAAACAACCAGTTATCAGGAGGTCCAGAGACTAGAACACCATG